AAAAAAAAAAAAAAAAAAGGTATTGAAGCCGGACTCCCGCATTGTTGCCATTTTTACCTTCAACACGGCTAGTACTAGAGTCGACTGTGACAGCGGTCATTAGATATACGTCGGTTAGTTTCGGATGCATTCGGCTCGATTCGGCCCGTTATTAATAGCTGGTGGGCTGTATGCCGTACTATTATTTAATGCTTTATACTATTTATTAATTTTGTTAAATACATATATCTATACAAACTACATGACATACGGAATTTTTAACGTATAATAAGTATATTCTTTTAATCTCTCATAGCATACCGAAAAGCACCGAAAAGGAACGTAGTTATCCGATTTATAACTAACCACCCCCCTTACCGCGAATCTTACTCCCCCGCTCAGTTCATGCTCCGTCTATATATGTCTATGGTCAGAACTACAGATGACGTGAACTGTTACTTGTGAATCACTCGTGATTCGATCACGTTCGTTCCCAATCACGGTGATTTTTCACAGTGATTCGTGATTTCTCGTGATCGTTTCTGATTGGTGGAGGAACCTAACAGTTCTTTAGACACGACACATAATCTGTATATTTTATATTAACGACATCAAAATAAAAATTCGAGTTATATCGTATAAAGTGAAGGAATAATTAGAAACAATGAAGAATAATGATTAAATTAATAATTATAAATTATAATCTACATGTTACCTAGCAAATCATTCTTTTAGAATTTCATGTTTTTTCTACTGATTTTTACAAACACGAATAGTAATGTAATTCATCGTAAAATCATATTGAATACGTTTTTCTGTTTAAAGATCAAGGACTTACGATCGCAGTGAGCAAATTCACTCAAGATAAAAAAATCGCAATCACGGTCGTGAATGAAGTTAAATCACGACCGTGACCGTGATTCGGCGATCACTGTGATAAATCACCGTTAGTGATTTTGCACGCCATCTCTAGTCAGAACGGTGGAAGTAAAGCGGGAGACGCCGGTAGGTCATAATGGGAGAACCAAGTTCTACGATTCTGGCATCACTGACTGGTATTAGTATCCATTCCTATTAATTCCTATGTCCATGTCACATGGCACTCCATGGGTATACCGGGTATATTTGGTTATACTCAGTAAGTACTTATATTTCTTATACATATGTATATTATTATATATTCAAATAGATGCTTTATGAAAACGTTATTAGTAAAGAATCTTTACGATTTGTGGTATAGATTTTTTATAATCTTGTACTTGGAACTTGCAGGGAAAGTGGTGAATCACTGGAATAGTTAAATAATGGAGTTAGGTCATTATTTAACAATTTAAGTTGTAATATTTATAATATGCCGGATCATACGTCTGTCCAATTTCGGGTACATGATATGATTTACTACACAGATATTTAACCTTTGCCTTCCTTAATTAAGGAAAATATTTTATAAATGATATTCAAATAATTCGGTACTTACCTTATATATATCGTTATTATGTTTTCGACGAATAATTAATGTGAAAAGTTCATGCAATCTGGGACTCGACGTACAAAAGCAATTGAGAAAACAACGATTTGTTGATGCATTTATTTCAATTGTAAATCTACAGTATTCTTTTATTAATATGTATGTACCCTTGCTTCTGTAAATAAATAATTATATTTGAAATATGTATATACTTTGATTTTCTAATTGTGTTTGCAGAATCATGAACAATCTACACAATAGCAGTCTAATTGCTGCTGCTATTGGTGTAACTGTTGGTGTTGTAAGTGCAGCTGGTATTTTTCTTTATCATAAAATTTTAGAAAATCAGCAACACACAACTGCAGTTTCTAATTTAAATTCTGCAAACAAAAGAATTGCTGAATTGCAAGCAGAATTAGAAGCATTAAGGTAACATATTTTTATATAGTGCATACAGTCATTATTTTAATTTACATTTGTAAAGTCATAATGATTATTGAAATTAAACAGTTAAATTATTTATTTATGTTTTTCAAGGTTGCAGCAGAGTCAACAGAAGAGGAAACGAAAAGTTTCAAGAAGATTTACTTCTAATGATAGTACATATACTGCAACTGACAATGAAACAGATATTGATGCTTTTTCAATAGCAGATACAGACATTGGAGATGATGAATTTTATGACTGTTCTGATAGTGAAAGTACTGTTGGTGAAAATTATATCAGGTTCGTTTAACGTTAGAAATAAATATAATGTAAATGTGTTATGCTTCGAAGAATAACAAGTATGAGAATTTATCATTTATTTTAGTAAACATGTGAATCCACTTTCTCAAGAAACATCTTAAGAATAGTTGACTTATATCATTTACTTTGTGATTCAAGTATGATTATTTATAGTAATTTGGAAAATTAGAGTTTAATTAACAAAATTACACTTTGACAAGTAAAATTGTTTCAAAAGTGCAGAAGAAGAGATTATATGTTCAATAATACAGGACCTCAGAGGACCTAAACCAATTGGATTTAATCCTTGCGGACATTGACAAGGAAACAAATGGAGATTTTAATATCCAGACTTATAATAAGTTACAGACATTGGTAAAATCTCATCAAGATGATGTAAATGTAATATGGAGGTTTGCAAGAGCTTGTTATGAATATGCAGAGACTATAGATAATTCAGATCGTAGAAGAATGATAATTGTTGAAGGTATGTACAAACATGATTTGCAATATAGATTGATTTATTGCAAAATAGCACAATGATACATAATATTTTATTGTTAAAGGAATTCAACATTGTGAAAAACTTATTGACATTCAAAACGCTGATTTATACAAGTGGTATGCTATACTAATAGGCTTAAATGGAGATTACTTATCAACAGCAGACAGAATAAGAAATGGTGTTCGTTTTAAGAAGTATGTAGTAATGGCTTTAGAAATACAGCCTGATGATAACGAATTACATTACCTCCTAGGAAGATTTAAGTTTGAAATCGCAAATTTAAGTTGGCTTGAAAAAAAGGTTTATCTTTTGATTTAGTATATTAAATAATTATAATGCATTGAAAATATTTTTTTTTGCAGCTGATACATTGTGTTTTAATATTACAGGTAGCAGCAACATTATTTGCTGAATTTCGTGCTTCGCATGATGAAGCACTTGTTTGTTTTGAAACGGCAGTTAAACTTGGAAATAATACCCTGCAGACACAATTGTACATTAGTAAATGTCACATCGCTCTACAGCAATATTCAAACGCGATTAATTGCCTGGTCGAAATCTTGAATCAGCCGGTATCGATAACTGCAGATGAAAAAGTACATGCTGAAGCGAAAACTCTTCTAAAGAATTATTCGGGATACTGTTGATAGCAAGAAATAATGTATTTATATATCTGATTGGTACTCAATACATATTTATATATGTGTGTGTATGCGTACACACACACGCGCGCACGCACACACGCACACATGTATGATATGTATTAAGATCATAAATATATAGATATATGCATATATATAATATGAATAAAGCATAAACATACATATAAATAAAAATTGTGGCTCATTATAGGCTAATGTAAACAGCATTGTTAAATAGTTTATAACAAATTATTACGTAATATGAAACGCAGATACTAAAGAAACATTTCATGTACTTTAATGAGTATCATTACTTTGTAAAAATTTTAATTATGATTAAGTTATAATAGAGGGTATCTTGTGTATATGGTAGTGGTACAAAATTTTGTGAATAATTAAGATTCTATATTTTTTTTATACATTTTGTCATATATTTTATACTTATATACGTATGTCAACTGATGCTGAGTTTAGTTACATGTTAAAAAAACCATAAACTTTATTGATGTTAATATTCACTATTTACGTTTATCAGGCGTCGCAATTTTGTTGTATAATTAAATTCCAATGAATTTTAAGAAATTTAAAGTATAAATAATTTGAACTATGCATGTTTATACTTTTGTTAAGGCGTTAAGCACTAAGTCAATTTTATTGGCTTTTTCATTCACGGTACGTAATACCACTACAATAAATCCTCAATGAGTATTTGAAGACTCCTCGGGCACAGACAAGGCGAGGTCCCCAAGTATAACGCTAACTTTATAATTACGTTTAGCACAGTGATAGAGCGTGGAATTTAGAAGCAATAATATTTGCCACAATCACATATAGCCATTAGTTTATGAAAGATTTAATAGTCAGTGTTGTGGAGCCAGCGAACACTCATTAAGGATTTACTGTAAGTAGTGATAATATAAATAAACGTCGAAAATTGCATCACTAGTTACACAACAAGGTGGAAGAGTATCTGAAGTTAAATATTGTACACGAATTGTTAACGACGACATTCGAAACGATTTGGAAAAAAAGTTCTAGAGGTTTGAATACGACAGTAACATTTTGTGATAATTCCGATAGAAAAGATCATCTCTGCTTCTCATATTCCAACAAACTCCATTACAATAAGTATTGTATTCATTAATATTACTAAAATTTGGGCTACATTTCTACTGTTTTCATAATCTTAGTATTTTTATTTTTAAATAGTAAAGTATTTTTATATTTCATGGCATCAGTCATGGATGACCGGCGCGGCTTGAGCGAAAAGTTTCTGTCGGCGACCGGTGATCTACACGGCGCTTAACATGTTAATATGCCATTTATCTGATGGATTTGTTAAAACTGTATATTATTGGTACTTTTATAATGTAATCTATACAATGAGTACTGATGTATCTAGTACTTCTTAACAAATATTCTATATTCTATATCATTCAAGACCTATAAAGCTAACAATATTTATAAAACTGCCAGTAGTTGGAATTTAATTTAATTGATAAGTAATTCTTTTATTTACATTAATACACGATTTCTTTTAACATGTTGCAATCGTTGTATTTTTGTCAACTTAAATGCTGTATTCAGAAAAAATTACAATACCGTATTACATATTAATTTGATGATGACTATTTCAAAGTTTTTGATATAATGAAACAGAACTATAATACTACAATGCTTTGAGTGATAAAAACAAGTAATCAATATTTGCATAACAATTTATATTTTCCTCTCACAATATTTAAAAATGGAGTGTATACTTACTGCAATGCTTAAAATAAAATTATGAAGAAAGAAATCAATATTTTATTGACAATTATGAATTTTCTCCCTGTTTTAACAGATCAATAATGGTCCTCACAGCATCCCAGAACTCAGTGTCTACTGGGTGGAGAATGGGGTAGAAGGGGTGAAGCACAGAGAAGCCCTTCTAGTAAGATAGAAGGGAAGCCAGAGAAAACATTTCTGAAACAGCTAGTTAACATTGAAACCTTGGGTCCATCAGATCATATACATGATAAGGTAAACTCTATTATTCAAAATACAATTACATGTGCAGATTTTTTGATTTTCAATGTAATTTACATTATTATTAAGAGAAAATAGGCATTTTCTTTTCATTTTCTGTAAAATAGGTATAAGTTATTTATAGTATTGTTTCAAAATAAAATTACACATTGTTTGTGTTAAAATTGAAATTTAAATGAATATTTTACTGTCATGAAGTATGCCTTCTACAGGGTTATTATAAAAAGTACTGGTAATTGTAATACTAATGATATATAAGTAGTTAGAAAATAAGTATTCCTTACACAGATATTTAAGAAGATACAGATGAAAAATTTGTATGCAAAATAATGCATATATACTGCATATTATGTTATTTCAGCTATTTAAAACATACTCTTGTGATGCGTGGACTTTTACGTGGTACTTTATACTGTGCACTATGGTACGGCAGTGTAATGGCTGGCTTTTTATTTATTGCTTGTCCTATGTTACCACTGTTATTCTTTAGTCCATCAAAGTTTCGAAAATGTAACGATTTTTTATTTTCCTGTTGGGAACTTTATTCTACTGTAAGTAAAAATAATTTCATACTTTTTTTCCTTTAATTATTTACCATTATTATAACATAAATTTTATAATGACCGTATTGTTTGAATATTTTAGGCTCTTTTAAAGGTGTTTGGTGTAAAAATTGTTGTATCAGGCGATCATATATCTCCAGATGAATCTGCCATACTTGTGATGAATCACAGGACACGAGTAGATTGGAACTTTTTGTGGGCAGCAATGTATCAAGCATGTTTGCCTAGTGTAGCAACTCATAGATTAAAATTTGTTTTAAAGGATCCTATACGACACATTCCAGGTCCAGGTAATATGATATTAACAATAGAGAATATTAATAGTTGAAGCACACAAGCAAACATATCATAATGTTCTATTTCTAAAATATATATAATTTTGTAATATTTGTATAGAGAATTTTAGAAAGCACAGTTTCTTTAAAAACGTTTGTCATTCTACTAGATATTAACAAGGGAAGGCACGGTAGTGTCCCCCTCCGATTTTGATGAAACTTCGTATGTCTGTTAAGCAGTCAAAAATAAGGGATACGTATTTTTTTTATCGGCTGCAACGTGACTTTAAGAGGTAAAACCATCCCTCGAAGTTTCGATGTAAAACTACTATATCGAAAACCAGAGGAGATATGTACATGAAAACTTCTAATGGATGAGGTTTGTGGTTTTTTATGTAGAATAATATGGTACTAACAAATTGTCCAAACTATAATTTTTTGATAACAAAAAAATTTTTGATCGAAACTTCGAGAGTTGTTTCACCCCTTAAAGTCGCGTCTCAGCCGATAAAAAAAATACGTATCCCTTATTTTTGTGAAAAATCGGAGGGGGACACTTTCGTGTCTTTCCTTGTAAGTCATAAATTGTTAAAGTTAATTTCAAACATTATTTTCAAATTTTAAAACATTAATAATAATGTCACTCCTTCTTATTTTCTAAAAAAAAGCATTGTGCTCACAAAATTAGAGAATTTTAAAGAAGTATTGTATAACAGGATGGATAATGCAAATGAACGGCTTCCTTTATATAACACGTCGATGGGAAGAAGATCAAAATCGATTGTCACGTACCCTTAATTATTTAGTAGCATTGGATAGACGTTCCCAATTACTAATATTTCCGGAAGGAACAGATTTAACAAAGGGTAGCAAAGAAAAGTCAGACAGATATGCTTTGAAACATATGCTCCCGGAATATTCTTTTACTCTTCATCCAAAGACTACAGGATTTAGTTATTTAGTTCATCATCTTCAGCAAGCAAATTACCTCGACTCGGTTTATGACTTAACGATCGCGTACCCTGACTATGTTCCACAGTCTGAACTAGATTTAATCAAAGGAAAAATGCCACAAGAGGTACATTTTCATATTAAAAGGATACCATCATCTGATATGCCAACACATGATGCCTCATTAAGACGTTGGTTAGAAAAAAGATGGTACAGTAAAGAAGAAGTATTAAAGGAATTTTATGAAAAGAAATCTTTTTCTACTGAAATTTGGCCATTGACAAACATTCTTCCTTTACATGTTGCATTAGGATTTTGGAGCATCTTAACAGGTAATATTGTATCATTAATACTTAAATTTATATTAATGTTTCTTGTATATTTATATGTATCAAAGAATTTTATTAACTTCAGGTGCTGCAGTAGTTTTGCTCATTATTTCACCATTGTTCCAATTGTGGGCATTGATTCTTTCAACTTTCTTTATAGTGCTATCATTTTTCAGTACTGGTTTCAATCAACTAGAAATGGGATGGTACTGGCGATGGAGTGCTCATTTCTTAAAACAAAAGCATAGGTTATAAAATTTTAAATTATGCTTTTCAGTGTGAGTAAGTTCAAGTACTAACTTTAAGTATTTATTTATTTGTTACTTTAAGACTTCTGTGAATGTACTTAAAATCCATACAATATTTATGTAAGTATGAAATTGAAACATACTAAAGACTTTAATTTTAAAAAAAAGACAAAAAAAGATCTTCAATGTCAAGGATATAGAATTTAAATCCAATCACAGTAACACGGGGCAACACTTGTTTTATAATTAATGATAGTAATTGCTATAAAAACAATTACCATTGTGCATCATATATCATGTAGGACATCAGTTAATACACAAAATTTGTTCTTTCATATTGACTGAAAGATATTCTGCAATGTAATAATGTTGGCTGAGAAATAAGAAACAAAATTTTTAATACAGAAGTAGTAAGAAAGAAATGGATAATGAAGAAAGTTACAAAATCTTTAGTTTACAAATATTTTAACATTAAGACTGTATATACAATATTACTGACATTAGTGCTTGTGTCCAAAAGAGGTTTTTCAATTCAAAACTTCTCCTAGAAATGTGTCAGAAATTTTAATGTCTAAATTATAATATTTTGATGTGTTCCGTTAATCATATGACATATAATTAGAAAAAAGTCCTAATATAAACCAAAGAATTTCTGAATCCAATTATTTATAAATTACTGTAATAATTAATATATTTTCAACAGTATTAAGACTCTATGCAGATAATAAAGTTATTAAACAGTATCATTTTATAAGAGTATATAAAGTGATTACAAGAACATTTTCGCGTGAAATGCATAATATCAAAAACGAGATATAAGATTAGACCTAATATTTTATGTGACTTGGTGTTGCTTGGTATCCCACGAAAATCACGCTGCTTTGAACGGTTCGAGCCCACTCCACATAAAAGTTTTCGACTTGAGGAACTACGTTCTACGTTCGACACGGTGATGTCGCACAGCACACACACCCCGTGACTGCATATAGCGGATATAGCGATACATACATACATACATTATTGTTACGGTTTCGCTATCAAGGAATTGAATACTGAAATGGTACAAGAGCTTCTGATACCCCCGAAGCATGGGATATAAAATTACATTGCATGTTAGGTCTATTCTTATATCTCGTCTGTGATTATATATACACATGGACAAAGTAATCAAAGTAATGCAATCGGTATAAATACATTTCAAACAATATAGCCATTACATATTTTGGATTTTGTGAATTCATTTCAAAATCATAACAACAGTGTATACACAGTGCCTCATTATCTTATATTTCAAAGTACAAATGCACATATATGTCATACAAAAATTCTAAAACCTGAATGAAGTGAAAATTTAAATAATTTAAAATATATGGCATATTTATGTATTTCATGTGTTTAGTTAATACAGAATGCAATCTTATATTTGACATTAAATCAGTCAGCATTTAAAAGACAATTTTATAATATTTTCCATGTAACAAAGTATTATTATGTTAATAATAAAAAATATAAGGATGTAAAAACAATAAAATATGTAGCGCAGAATATAAATTTTAGATACTTGATTTTGTAATAATAGCAAAAGTTCTATTTTTCTATAGCTATAGAAGTAAAGTAAGTAAGTAAAAGTGAATTCATGTGCCAAAGAAATCTATTTATTAGTGTATAATTACAAGCTTCATTTTGAAGTACATAGTTTTAAGGACTTGTCTATTTAAATGTTTGTATTTCTCAATCATAATGTAACAGTTTTATTTAACTTGTAGACCTGAAAATATAAATACACATATTACCATGAAATTTTGAAAATATTACTTTCAGTTGTAATCCTTTTAATCATACTGTCACAGTTTTATAAAATATGATACCACAAATAACAGATATTATTGAGTAATTGGTGAAGGTGTATCAAAATTTTATTAGATTAGATCATTTTTAAAACTAGCAGGCAATATTAATACAAGTTATTTATAAATATTTTGTACAATAAAGTTTATATGCTAGGAATTCATTTTAATAAAATAGGTTTAAAAAGTATAATAAATAATTTTTCTTTCCTCATAAGATATGGGCGGTATTTATAGTCACTTCTTAAGCATTTCCTTAAATGCCTTTCCTAAAAATCCTTGCCCGCTTAAATAGATTCATAGTCGGGAAATAAGCATTTCTTAAGAACTTCTTATTCGGGATATAAGGCAATCGTATTCTTCAAAAGTTAGATTACATTTCAAATCGACGTTTGACACGACACGATCCTCGTATCGTATACAAAAAATTAAAAAATAAAATTGAAATTTATTTGAAGGAAAAATGAATGATAAATTAACGGTAAAATTAATTATAATATCTTATTTGAAGGAAAAATGAATGATAAATCAAGGTAAAATTAATTATATCTTATTTGAAAAAAAAATTTAATGAAATGAAGAGCTTAGTGGTCAACGGGCATCCTTCTCTGACCCCTTTCGATGTCCAGAACTCTTCCCCACATTGCTCCTCTACTTTCACCTTTCACCTTGCTCACTGTCTCGCTGTACCCCTCTCTTATTCTCTCTATCAACCCCCCACTTACCCCTCTCTTCCTCAGCGCCACCCTTCGCGGAAAGGCTAGAGAAAAGGGGTAAAGGATGGATGATAGTAGGGGGGAAAAAACTGTTCAGCCTGGTATATGCCGACGATGTGGTATTGGTGGCGCAGGATGAAGGGGGGTTGAAGCTGATGATAGAAGAGTTGAAGGGGTATCTAAGGAAGAAGGGCTTAAAGCTGAACCTGGGAAAATCAAAGGTAATGGAAAGCTTTGGGAAAGGGGGTGGGACGAGGAAAGAGAGGAAATATTGGTGGGGGGAGGGAGAGGTGGAAGAGGTAAGACAATACGGGTACCTGGGGTACAGGATACAGAGAAATGGAAAGCAAGAAGAGCAAGTAAGGGAGAGGGAAAGGAAGGCAGCAGGGGCGATGGGTTGGGGTTTAGGAAAGAGGGGGGTTTAGAAGTGTCGAAAAATCAACTAATACACATTAAGAAAGCGGAAACGTCGGGTGAAGCGTGGGGATTGTTGCACGATGCCCATGAATCCAAGGGTTCGGTGAGAAAAGCCGCCCTGTATAAACAACTATACAGAATGAAAAAGGAATCAACCCAAAGCATGACACAATATACCAACGAGTTCGTCTCAAAAGCGGAACAGTTTGAAGAGGTGGGAATAAAAATACCGGATGAATTGCTGTCGATAATGCTATTAAATTCTTTACCGACGGAGTACGAAGCACTGCATCGCGATCGAGTCGCGCGACGACATCCCAAGTGTCGAGTTTCTAAAGCTAAAGCTCATTGAACAAGAAGCCAGACGGGACGATCAAGTAACAAAAGAATCAATCCCGAATAATGACGTGCTACTCGTAAAAGGGAAACCAAATGAACATAACTATCATCGAAGAAACACCAGAGGACGGAGTTCAAGGTCTAAGTCGACCAGATACAGCGGAAACTGCTTCAAATGCGGGAAACAGGGACACTGTTCAAGTGAATGCAGATCGAAGACAGAAAACTTCGCCGGAAACAGCACGGAAGACGCCATGCCAGCGATAGTGTTGAACGCCGAACCGGAAAAATCGGTGAATTGGTGTTTAGATAGTGGTGCTACTAAGCACACGTGTAATGATCGCGGCAAATTTTCGAGTGTAAATGACAAAATACGTGCGAAAGTATATACTGCGACGGAACAATACGTAATGTCAACCGGTACAGGTGAAGTTATAATAAATGCGAATGCGTGTGATAAAAGAACACATACTGTAAAATTAATAAATACCATACTAGTGCCAGGTTTTAGAAACAATTTGATATCAGTTTCGCGAGTAACGGACAATGACTATAGCGTTATATTTAAGAAAGACAGTGACAGATTTATATATCATTAACGAAACTGAAAATGAAAACGCGCAAGCAGTATGCGTTAGTGACGATAAATTACGTCGATGGCACTCTAGGTATGGATATCTAAGTGTCGCCGATTTGAAGAAATTACATAAATATAATATGGTTGTAGGTTTGAACTTCAGCGGAGGTGCGGAAAACTTCAAATGTGAGACGTGCGACAAGTCCAAGATGCACCAGTCATCTTACACATCGTCAACAACGAAGACCAAAGAGAAATTAGGTTTGGTTTATTCGGATATCTGTGGTCCTATGAGCAGTACGTCATTCGGTGGATCAAGGTATTTTACGACGTTCGTGGACGACAAAACGAGGTATACGAAGGTGATCATGTTGAAGAATCGGCATGAAACCTTTAATGCGTTCAAGAAATACAAACAAAGGGTGGAAAAAGAGACAGGGTGCGTTATAAAAATGTTACGAACAGACAACGCAAAAGAATATGTATCTAAAGAATTTACTGAACTTTTAGAAGCTGAAGGGATCAAAAGACAATTGAGTGTGGAATATACGCCACAGAAAAACGGAGTCGCCTAGAGAGCCAACCGAACTCTAATGGAGATGGCACGATGTTTGCTGGAGGAGTCACATTTACCGAAAAGTTTGTGGGCAGAAGCAGTAAATACTGCAAATTTTATTCGAAATCGTTATCCAACATCGTTACTTAATAATGTAACCCTTTTTTAAATGTGGACCGATAAAATACCATACATAGGCTACATGCGAATTTTTGGTAGCAAAGTAATATCTCTCGAAAAAGGACCACGAAAAAGTAAACTAGTAAACAAAAGGGAAAGCATACATCCTGTTTGGATATTCTGAAGAAGCAAAAGCGTATAGACTTTGGTCACCTAGTACGAAGACCATTGTAAAACGACGTGACGTGCGGTTCCACGAAGAAATTCCACAAGAAGAAAATGAAGATACAAATATTTTGTACAGGTTATTTTGTGCTCTAGGCCAAGCTGATTAACGCGCCCCCTATTTTACAAATTAGTTACGTTTTTTTAAATTGAAATTGTAAAAAAAGAAAACAATAATTTGAAGCCACATATTTATTATCAATTGCACAG